GCTTGCTGTTGCTTGTAACGTCAGTCCAGATGACATCAGAAACCGCCTGTCGAATCGCTTGCTTGAACGGCCAAAAAACCGTTACATCCAGTGACTGGAAAAGGTGGGTCGAGTTTGCGGGCAAAAACTGAAGGAGAATGTCCAAGGCTTTGGCTTCGTCGTATACGTACTCGGAGTAGTGCGACGAGCAGCCGTCCAAAATAAGCAGCACTGGACGCTGCACGGTGGAGGGAATGTTGTCGTTGAGCATCGAGAGCCATTTGCGACAAATGTACGAATTCGTCCACCCCTTCTCAGAAGTTGTAACGGCAGCGCCAGGGATCGTAAGGCTGTCACATGTATCGGTAGATACACGATCTCCAGGCAGCACAAAGAGAGGGGGTATCTTGGCCCCATCAGCAGCCACACATGCGATAATCGTGACGTGAGAAGCGGCAGATGACTCCTCGGCGTAAACAGCCATTGTCGTACGGTGGACCACAACCTTCCTTGCTGTCTTCGAGGGCGAGAAGCTTGTATCGTCCATGTTGAAAATTCGGCTTGGGTCCATGTTCACCATTGACATGGAGTGTACGAGCTCGTGAAAGAAATCGACGACCGTATCTTTATCGACACCGTTTCGGGTCTTACTGAGCACTTGAGCCTTTGCGATCTTGATTTGAAGGTGTCGCTTGAGGAATCTTGTATACCACCCGATCGTCAGTTTTGGGGATTGCATGTCTTGGACCACGGCGACCATTTCGGTGGCCTTATCAGTTATTTCTCGACATCCAACTGGATGCCCATCACGCTCCATGGCAAGTATCCAGGCCACCAAGTCGAGTTCAAACGGCCGTGGCAAGACTGGTGGTGGTCCCATCGACACCGGTTGTGAGTTGCCGTTACGTGCACTGGTCACGTGTTCACGGAGTGTGCGCAAGGGAATGTCCTGAGCACGAGACGATGAGGCAATAGTGTGTTCTTGAGCTAACACTGCATGCACGGCCACACGCAACGTGTCCTTCGTTTACGATGTTCGTGGGGGCATTTCGTTCTCAATATCAAATCGAAAACCTCGTAAAGTTTATAATTTTTGCCTCCATAATTTCTCACGAGGTCAATATTGTAAGATGTTTTGTTTTGTCCAATACAATTCGAGAAACCATGTTATTGGATAAAATGTTTTGGCGCATCATTGGTCAGTTGGCGGATCACTGATCGGTCACGTGGTATATAACTAGATCAGGTCAATTGAACGAGCCATTATTGTGCTGACAGAAATACACTTGTAACTTAACGTAACCTATTCAGTAACTGTTGGGTAGTTTTTTACAATTTGCTACTCCAAAAGTATACTAATCTTCAATGCAAAGAAAACTCAGCATGTCCAATATCATTGTTGCATCCATGACCGCGTTTAACCACGTTCATACGCTACCAAGCGCCAAGTTTCCCTCGTTCTGACTTACACTAACGTTACCTCGCTTTGGTGTATCACATTCTAACAGCGAAACATGCACATTGGTGCCAATCAGTATTGTGTGTTCTACTCGAAGTTTACATGGGCTGTTCTTAAATCGCCCCGATCCGAATGTCCGCGAAATGACCTCACAGCTGTCAATGACAATAAGTGGAATTTCCTTCACAAAAAGATCGATGATAATTGTATACCGCTTACGCTTTGGGCGCAGTCTCCTTTAGTGTTCATCATATCCTTCTAGTAACGCTGTTTATACTACGTATTCGTCGAATAGACCACTCAATTCTAGTGTCAGTACTATGTTGTACTATTACCAGTTGTACTAGTACTAAGGAGCGCTACCCCACTGCTTGCACCACGCGACTTCTGGTTCAGACAGCGCCACCCCACTGCTTGCACCACGCGACTTCTGGTTCGGACAGTGGATGGGCGGCCCCAACGGTGCTACTTTTCAGGGCCCACTTGGCCATTCCCCCCACTGCATCATCCCCCGCCCCCCAACAAACCACCACTGGTGGATTGATGCCACGCACAACCCATACACCTCCACTTGGTGGCGCCTCCTAACCACGGCAATACAATCCGCTACCTCTCACCAAACACCGGCCACCTACTGACTTGTCGTACACGATGGCTCCTGCGGCCATCAAATGGCTGGCCAGCTCCAAACAACATGGCTCCTCACCATTCCCCCGGGCCAGATCAAACTCCGTCACGTTTCCTCCATATGCCACACCCCTACCCCAACCTGGGGCAAACTCGCTTCTGGCAATCCCACTGCAATCCACATTGGTTTCATCACCACTGGCAACACAGTAGCCCTACTCGCCTCTGCCCAGCAGCACTGGACATCAGCACTCACATTAATTGATGCTATCCATTGGCTCCGACGGCCTCCCCCGACCACTCAACTCCGCCCAGAAGAAACTACCACGACGGCCATCCCACGACTACTTAGTGCCCCCACACACTGCCTCCACTGGGTCCAACCCTCCATTCCCACATACGACCAATATGCCCTTGACACACGCGCATTCCTCACGACACAGTTTCCGGCCATTTACCAAGCTACCTCCGGCTGGAAAACCTTCCCCACCATGACACACACCACACGAGCCTGGGCAGCCGCCCTCACCCACCTCCACGCTCCTCGTTTCCATACTCAATGGTTCAAGGCGCACTGGGCCGCCCTTCGCCGCCACTGGCAATCGACATGCACTACTAATGTGGACCACATACGCATCGCAGGGGAACTACCCCTCCTCACCGAGGTAAATAACAACATCCGGCTCAAACGCCGCTACCATGATGCCGCCCCCATGGGTCACGATCGACGCATCCGTGCCCGCAGGGCTCACCTTGCAGTCAAGACACTACAATGGCACACTCGAAGGATTGTCTCACTACCCCCCGCCCTCCCCCCTCGTGTAGGCTACGCTGACCCTCCACTTCGGCCACCACGCCTGCCTCCGGACCCAGGGATACCTCCACCAGCGGCCTAAGCCTCCTTATCCCCTGGAACCACAACTAGGTTCGCAAGTAGTTAAGTCCGCTAGCTGCCAATGCAGCTAGTACGCGGCCGAGGCCATTAAGTGCCCGCTGAGTGATTTTAACTTTACAGCGTAATATCAATATCAATATCAATAGTACTAAGGAGCGCTACTGCATACTATTAATAGTACTACGTTGATACTAACTGTAAGTTACTATAAATAGCACTACTAATACATTGTACTACGTAGTAGTAGTACTGGGATACCTATTATTAGTACTACTAGGTAAAAATATTGATATTTATAGTACAGTATAAGTCGTACATCCGCATATACAGTACTAGTACTAGTACCAGTACTATTTACTGTTTGTACAACTGTAGTAGTATGCTTCAAGTACTACGTAGTACTTGAAGCATACTACTACAGTTACGACGTATAGTACTAGTACTTCATAGTAATACTAGTAAGTAATAGTATACGTCGTACAGTACTCGTAATGCTGTACGTACTTCGAAGTACTACACAGTACTATTACACTTCTGGAAGTACTACTACTAGGTATAGTAGACTACCAGGTAGTACTAGTACGTACCCCATTCAATTTCGTAGTACACGATACTATTCCGTTCCTAAATACTGTCTCGCCTTAGTACTACATACTGTACACTCTACTAGTATACAGTTAAATCTTGTGCTCTTAGTACTCGTACTAACTAACTCGTTTCAACCCCCTCTAGGTTAACGTTAACTGTAGATCATTGTGTTGTGATCGAATAAAGTCGGACATCTCATCCGACTCAATTCTGATTGGCTTAAATTCGACCTAATTATCGTGCCTTTACTTTTTGCTGCATCATTTGTGGTCACAGTCTGTCAATTTCGACTTCATTGTGCTCCTACATCCACAATTTTGAGAAATACTGTAACGCCCAATAAATATGGGTGCTGTAAAATCCATTAAGTAGGGTATATATGCGGGAATGCCATAAAAACCCGGATTACGTCTACGTTTTCTAGCCAGCCGTGCAAATGTGACCATCTTCATTTGGAACATACAAAGCCGACGTCCAAGTTCAGTGAAACCAGGATGATGGCAAATTGGCCATTATATGCCAAATGCAATGCAGCTATAGCCGTGGCCGAGGTGTTGGGACGACCCAAACCAGTGCCAATCGTGCTGTTATAAACGTTTTGGAGCTCCTGCACCGCAAACTTCCACTCATACAACATATTGCCTTGATTCTTGGTCAAGTCCCGCAACTTGATCTTGTACACCCAGCTAGCAACGACAATACAGTACAGTACCTTAGAGCCTGGTACTACTGGTGGTGTGGAGCATCCGCCTGGGGAATCCTCCCTCTGGCGGATGCTCCACACCTCCAGGAGTACTAACCAACCACTACTACCACAGCCACACCCGCCACCACAGCACTCACTACTGCTCATCCTACGACCACCAGAGCAAGACCAACCACTACTACCACAGCCAGGTGGTATGGAGCATCCGTCAGGGGGATCCTCCCTCTGGCGGATGCTATACCTCCAGTAGTACCAGGCTCTAAGGTATTGTACTGTACTGTCGTTGTTCGCTGGCGGGTTGCAGGCAAAACTTCATTATGTTGTTCACCTGCCAAGGTCATTGCACTTTTAACCAATCAATGGATACAGGACATTCGGTCCGACTTTCTTCTGTTAATTTCTCACGTCTGGTTTTGACTTCGCTTTCGTATATAATAAATAGTACAACGATCAAGAAAGTCGGACAAACGGTCCGACGATCACTTGGTTCCTATATATCCTGTCCGACTTTTTTCCACAAAGGTATTCCGTGTGTCACGTACATATACTAGTACAGAGAACCGAGGATGAACTCGCCCACAGTTGTACTTCAGAAATATAATTCAACTTGAGGTTGAATTTCGATTCAACATTTAGTCAATCACAGCTCTACCGCTCGACAGACCTTATTGGAGTAAATCTTGCAATCGAACACCTTTCATTGGGCTATTCAAAATAATCTGATGCACGAATTTCAAAATCTGACCATGTCAAAGGGCATGCAGTCTCGACGACGTGCGTCACCTCGACGCAAGCCGCTGTTGAAACCGTACCGTCGCTCAACCCTGCTTGCAAAGCGAAAGCAACATAGTTACACTATTGGCACAATAAAGGCTCTCTTGCAGAAGTACTCCACGCTCGGGCCATGTAGCAGCGACCGCGAGTTCGCGCGAAAAGAGAATGTTCCCATCGCCACACTACGAGGATGGCTGGCTCGAAAGGAGGAGTTCCTCCAGTCCAAGAAGCATACCAGCAACGCCACTCTCAGTGGGCATGGCCACAGTCAGGCGGTGGACTTTGGCGACGCACTGGCCAGCTTCATGGACAGCGTCCGCGACCACGAGAAGTTCTTGACGACAGCGCACCTTGTGACATGGCTGAAGAACCTTCAACCTGCCTGGCTTGACTCGTACCTGGAAGGCAAGGCGGATCCGTCACGATCGTACAAGGCCCTCCTGGGATGGTGCCAAGCCTTTGCGCACCGCCACGGGTTCTTGCAGCGCGTACCCTGTACGTCCAAACGGACGCACGAGGACTTGCAGGCCCCGCGCGTTGAGTACGCACAATCGTTTTGGTCCAAGTACAGTGCCAACGACCGCGGGAACATCATCAACATCGACGAAACTGGAGTACATTATGACATGCCGCCACGTCGTACATGGGCACGAATCGGGAAGTCGGCCAAAGTTGATCGCCAGCAGAAGCACTCTGACCGGGTGACCGCCGTCCTTGCCATACGCGCAGATGGTGAGATTGTGTTCATGATCGGTACTTACGTGTCGTCTAGGACGCAAGTTGCCTCCCTGCATCATCGTGCGTGGTCAGCCTGGCGGTCCTGTGGAGCAGGACGAGTTGCCGACGTATCCACGTGACGCAATCTACGCTGTCCAAGAGAATGCGTGGATGGATGAGCGCGTGTGGGACGTCTATCTGCGCGAGATCGTCCAGTACGAGATCGAGGCACCGTCTGTGGTGGTGGTCGACAACCTGTCGGTGCATGTCACACCTGCGGCGTGCTAGTTAGTCCGTGGCGACCTATACAGTGTGCTGGAAGAGCTGCCAGCGAACGCAACTAGTACCGTTCAACCGCTTGATGTTGGTGTGATGAGGCCAAATGCCGCACCGAGTGGCTGTACGAGGTAAAGGTTACAACAGCTGCAGAGAAACGGTTGGCGATGGTGAAGAGAATTTTGAAAATATGGGAGTCTATTCCACCAGCGATGGTTATTCGCTCGTTTGATAAGGCT